GTTCAGTTCTCCTTACTGTCGACCCGGGTTGTATTAGCATTCTACTAAGGCTGAAATGACTACAATACCCTTAGGAAAGTTGCAGCAGATGTAAGAGAGAAAGAATAACATGAAAAAGACAATACTGCCCCTGTTAACCACTTATAACAATTCTAACAAAACTAATGAATGATCAAATGAAAAATTAATCTTTTGGACAAATGCCTTAGAAACAAGAGCCTTTAAAGTAAATAGGACTAAAACAGAATATATGATATGTAAATTTACTAATATAGGAGTGCAAATCACAGTATACTTAGGATTGGAGACCAAGAGATAAACTCAATATGACCTTTTTTCGGTACCTTGATTCAACAATTCATAACATGGGAGAGATCGAGAAGGATGTTGCCCATAAATAGGATGGAAAAAATGTATGGGTGCATTCAGTTTGATGTGATAGGAGAATACCACTTAGATTAAAAAGAAAATTCTATAAAACAATTGTAAGGCCAACTATGCTGAATGGAGCAGAGTGTTGGGCAATTATGAAACATGTCCAAAAAATGAGTATCGTAGAAATGAGTATGCTGAGATGGATCAGTGGAAAAAAACTAGAAAGAATATGATACAAAGGAATTTAGTAGTAGCTTCAGTAGGCAATAAACGGGAAAGTAGACTTAGATGGTTTGGTCATGTACGTAGAACATCAACAGCACCTATAAGAAGTAATTTTTTTCAAGTTGAAGGGGCTAGAAGGGCTATGGGTAGACCAAAATGGACATGAGTAATAGTAAGAAATGATTTAAGTGTCAATAATTTAACAATGGATAGGGCAATAAACAGAGGGGAATGGTGAAATAGGATTCATCTAGCCACCCCATATAGTTGGTATAAGGCTTGGATGATGATAGTGGTGGTGATGAACTTATGATGATGTAATCTAGCAGGTTAGAAGCCCAGTATTGTCACTCTTTAGAGCCCCTCTAGCTAGGGAGTCAGCTCAATTGTTGGCTGATCTCCTAATCCAAGGGAATGGGATGTTCCCTTTGGAAGCAAATGGTCTAGCATCTCTGATACAATGGCCCAGTGTCCCCCATCTCTCCACAGTCTAATCACTACCTGAGAGGCTGAGAGCACCCCTCCATCTCCAATTTAGAATAACCTAGGGCATACATTAATCTATGATCCTCAATAAAGACCATAGTTTTAAAAGGCTAAAGAGGCGAGACGTGAGGCATACACCTCAAGATGAAGCGGCCGGAAAAAGCATTGCCTCAATAGCCTTGGTCTTCATCTCCAAAGCTTAAGCTTTGGACTAGCCAAGGCACATGCCTTCCACCTTGTGCCTTGTAACTTACAAGGCAGGTGCCTTAACCAGTTGCCACTGCAAAATAGAAAATGAATAATCAGGGAAAGGTAACAAGCAAGAAAAATAAAAAATGAATGGAATTAGGAAAGGCATTTTTTGAGAAGCTACAATCGAAGAGAGAAATCATGATTCATAAGAACAAAAATGTTTTTTTTTTTTTTTTGATAAAAGAGAATAAACATTTGTTCTTCATGAATGACCAGCGAAGATATCTCTGGTCTTCTTCTTCATGCTCCGTCTATTGGAAATTCACCCATAGAATTGACCAAAAGAGTGAGACTATGAGACCAAACTTTGTACCTGAAAAAATTGACTAAATACACAAATATGGACATTTTAGTCAAGAAAAGTTCCAAACCCTCATTCATACTTTTTATGATAGTATATATTTTTGTTAGATTAAACTATTGTGTTAAGCTTTAAAACTTGAAACAGTACTTCCAAAATTTTCAGACCAATTGTACTTTTATGAAAATTTTTTAGGCATGGATGAAAAATTGACAGTTAAGTATTTCTATACTGTGAGGCCCCATGCAATGCACGGGAGAAGATGTCAGAGTACCAAGGAAGTTTAAAACTAAATTAAAAGAAAATTTCTGTTAGTTATTGTTTGCATAACAAAAAATAAAAATAAAACAAAATTTTGAATGTTTTAATATTTATTTTTTAATAATAGAAATCTATATTAATTTACTATTAAGTGAAGTAAAAAGGAAAATTTTACCAATTAAATACCAACTTAGAAAATAAATTATGCTAAAAAATAAATTTCTGTTATTTAATTACTGTGGGGACTAAAATAAGAAAAAAATTAAACAGTTAGGAAATTTTCTACTAAATCAATATCAAATTAACAAAAAAAAACTATACTAAAATTATTTTTTAATCAATTACTGTTAACACTAATTAACAAAAAAAAATTAAGCAGTTAAAACAGGAAAGTTCTACTAAATTAACACCAAATTAAAAAATATATATACTAACAATTAAGTTTCTGTTAATTAATTATTCTTGAAACTAATGAAGAAAAATAAAAAAATCTATTGAAAATTGAATTTCTGTTAACTAAGTTTCATATTAATTGCTGCTAATTACTGTTTGCAACTAACAGAAAATTTGAATATTTTAATGATTATTGATTAATTTATTCTTAATGTATATTTACTGTTAATACAGTAATTAATAAAATTTTGATACATAAACCCAATAAAAACTTGGCGCTCAATTTGACAACTAAGATTCATATTAATTGCTGTTAATTACTGTTTGCAACTAACAGAAAATTTGAATATTTTAATGATTATTGATTAATTTATTCTTAATGTATATTTACTATTAATACAATAATTAACAAAAATTTGATACATAAACCCAATAAAAACTTGGCTCTCAATTAGACAACAAAGTGACTCCATGCCTCTTCTTTTTATGGTAATGATTATGTGTATGCCTCATTTATAGAATTTAAGGATGTTCCCAGATCACTTGGCCCATTGATGCCCATTTTAAAAGTTAGAAGGAAGCCAAGGATACCAAAGTTATTAGACCCAATCAGTGGTTGGTGACTACTTCTACAGCAAATAAACATCAAAGACTCTTGGTGGGACCTTTCTACAATACATAATCGTACAATATGGGTCAATACTGGGTCATTCAATTAAGAAATAGTAGTTTTCAAAAATGGGTCTCATTTGATTCATTTTAAATCATCTTCTTTGCCCATAACCTATATATGGGTTTTTTGCAACCCGATTTTCTAAAACATAATAGAACTGACCTTTTGAGTCAGTATTTGTGCAACAGCGCTTCTGAAACATATCCTGGTCATCATTTTAAAATGAAAACCAGCATGTGAATGACCAAAAAACATGTTTTTGCATTTATTATTTGCTTGATTAAAAGTAACAAAAATGGTTTCTGAACTTACAGTTTTTGTAGCGAAAAGAGAGCTGAAAATGTAAATCAAAACCTATGTTTCTTACCACAGTTTCTTTGGTATAAGAGAATCCAATCCAAAACAGTGGCGGAAACAAACGATAACCAATCCAAAGTAGGGGAATAAAGATGTCTCCTTTTTGGATAGTCTACCTGTGTCACTTTCCATATAAGGGAATTCAGTATAATGATCCAAAATGGGGGAGGAATCTCTGCATCCATATTCTCATAGAATCTCAGTTTTAGCAAGTTTCCTTCTGTATCAGGATTTCAAACCTTTGTGATAAAGGATGACATCGCTAATTAGAGATGGTTGAGAGCCCTGATTACTTGGCTTAATGGGAGGGTTGAATAGGGGAAAGGGAAAAAGGAGAGAGAGTTAAGGAGGAAGGAGGATAGAGTGAAGGGAGGAATGAGAGAACATTAAAAGAGAAAGCGAGGAAGGGGGAATGAATGAAAGAAAAGGGTGGGTGACGTGGACAACCTTGCTTTATATATATATATATATATAGAGAGAGAGAGAGAGAGAGAGAGAGAGTGCAGATCTTGATGTTTTTAGCTGGGTGACAGATGGTTGATGTTGTATGTACTTTGTAGTAAGCAAGTATGCCCAAATTAATTAATACAATTAATACCAACAGTTCAAAATCCAATAGTCTAATGGGTATTCGAGAGGATCTTTTTGTTAGCAGACATCATATTCTTTAGTTTTTTTGGTAAGTACAATAGATTACTTTTCTTTGGTAAAAACCCATTCTTTAAAATCGAAGCAAACAAATTACTTTTATTTTAGTATTCTAATGAAACTTTGTCCACAACATGTATTCTAATGGACCTTATTCATTTTCTTTTTAGTTTTCACAATGGTTTTGCAGGAATTATTAATTAGTTAGTAGTTTAGGTCTGTTTGGTTAACATGAATTGGGGTCTGGAATTGGAATCAGAATGGTCCATTACAATTACAACCGTTTGGTTGGGCGGAATTGGAATCCTATTCCCATTCCTGGTTGAATGAAATTCCTCCATTTGAGGGAATGACCATTCCCTCTCCCTCCCTTGGGAATGGGAATCCATTTCAGCCAATTCCAATTCCCATCTGAACCAAACAGGCAGGAGGAATAGACCATTCCAGTTCCCAATTTGTGGTTGGATTCACGTGCTTGCAGAGTGTTTATAGGGTTTTTGCTTTCAGGAGATCCCATCATGGTCATTGGACCATTTATAGATCAGATGACCACACAAAATTACATAAAACTTCAATTTCATGTTTTTAATGCCTTTATTGTTATTGATTGTATCTATAATTTTTATCTTTTTTACTTTGAAGTTTACACCTCAAACCGCCTTGAGGCTTATGCCTCTCCTCTTCAAGAACCAACCGCCCCACCTCTGCATTTAGCCTTTTGAAACCTTGATAAAGACAAAAGCTCTGCCTGCAAAGAGTCCTTCCAACCAACTGGTCACCCAATTCTTTCATTTATGAGCATCTTATCCTTCATTCAGAACTGCAAATGGGAGGGCAGATGTACTGGCAAAACAGGGGGTTAAGATATCGATTGTTCTGGGAAAAGTGTAAAGTTTAGTGTTCCAGCTTTTGTACTTAGCTTTAACTTCATACCTTAATTTAATGAATTCTTTTTGCTGATAAAGAAAAAAAAAAACTCATTGATTGAAGAAATATGGTCCATTCCTAATGGAGAGTTGTTGATGGCAGAGAATCTAGATGGAGGAGAGTATATATTTGCATTCCGCATGTTGATGGTACTTTTCAGAAGAGAGTTCTCATTTGTGGATGCATTGTACCTTTGGGAGGTAATGGATTCTCCTTGGTTAATCAAAATCATATCTTTCCATGTCAGAGGATTTTTCATATATATTCTCTTATAACTTTATAAGATGTGGTTACTTCAGTTCTATACAAGCTCTCATTATAGCTACATATTTGATTAATTGGCAAAGATTGGTTTCAGTTGATGTGGGCCATGGAGTACAACCCGAGCCTATTCTCTTTGTATGAAGGCCCAAATGCAGCTATGGATAGGAATAATGCACCCAAGGGCAATGACAAGCTGCTAAAACAGTATGGGAGATTTGAGAGAAAAAATTTAAAGACCGGATTCAGTGACAAAAGCAGCTCTCTATCTGTTTTTGTCGTTGCAGGTATCCTCAAGTCCAAGAAGAAGCAGCTGTTGAGAGAGGCAAGGGGTCTGGACAATGTTCTCAAGGTCCTATCACCTCTCTTTGCCTTTCATATCAGTATATGTATGTACATGCATATGTGCTCTAGTCTCAAAGTGGAACTTTATGATCCAGGTTTTGAATGAATTAACTGGAAAATTAGATGCAAAAAAGGCATGCAACGAAGCTTTGAAGATTCACAAAAAATATTTGAGCAAGGCAAGTTTTATCTTTATGAATTTTAGTGCCAATATTTTGACATGTTTTTTTCTTTTATTCATCTTTTTTATTTAAATGGGAACCTCAATGATGTTTAGAGCTAAGTAGAGTGTTGTGTAAGAGTGAGTAACAAATTTCTGGAAGTACTATTTTTTTTTGATAAACTTAGTATAGAGATCTTTCGAATATGATATTAGATATTCAATGAGCATAATTTCCTATTTGATGGGCCCTTTACGACCATATAAATTGCTGAGTGCACCTACCGTTCGCGATCTAGGAGATTTTGAAAATATGGTTTTATAACGTTTTTCTTTGGAAAATATGTATCCATGCTCTTAGACCATGACCCTACCCTATATGCACGAATTGCGGCACTAAGATTTATAGCATATATTTTTCTTGCAGACTAAGAAATGATAATGGTGCTTGACGTCATAAATTTGTTGTCTAACCAGATCCTTACACCCAATTGGCTGATGCATTGAGAACCAGAGCTTGTCACCAAGATTTTTCTTGTAAAGTTTCTTCATCTCAGATGTAGTGTTCCAATAGCTGAGCTCTCCTTTTGTTTTTCTTTTTCCTCAAATTTTTGTTGATTATGATGTTATCTCTGCAACATCAAAAAGAATAGGGGATGTAGAAAATATTTTTTTTCACAGAAGTTACTTTCTACTCTGCATGCTCAAACGCTCCTGTATAAGAATTTTTCTTTTTCAATTTTGTAAAGTATTGTAGGTAATGATTGTTGACCCCAAAATGGTGGGTGCATGGTGGGTATACTTTTGCCATATTTGACCGTCCTTTGCCCTTTGTGAGTCAACCAACATAAAGTCACAAGTATTTTTCTTATCCATTTAGGCTAGGCTAATCACATTTTTAAGTCAATTTAATTTTAGTACATACACAATCATATAGCCTTTGCTTATACTTTTTTTTCATTGTCAATATACATAGAATCTGTCTTCTGGTTATGTGTAGATGATGCAGTAATTGATCCTCAACAAAGAGAGAAATATTGAGAAAGATGAATGGACAATTGTTCATGTTGTGGATGTCAGAGAACCCTATCCGAATCCAGTTTTCGACTGTGAGAAGCTTTCAAGGCAGGATATCGGAAAACTTCTCCCAAGAGTCATGGCTTCTGTGAGAAATTTTCTTTGTAAAGATACTGAGAAAGCAAAGGGCAGTGTTCTCAGGGGAAGGTTCATCAGGTTATAAAGTATGATCAGCTTGGTGGAATTCTATAAGTGCAGACTAGAGTTCTAACTTTTTAACTAGTGCATGAGTATTTCTCTGAACTATTAAATGCACTTCTATTACATATGAAAGGTGTGTGTGCCCACACACACGGGAGCGGATTAGTTGAACGCAATGGCTGTTAAACAGGCTGTGGAACCAATGATAAGCACCCCATGTCAGTCATAAATACATAGGGTCTACAATCATTCAATCTCTCACTTGGCATTTATCACTGGCATGGGGCATTATCAGTGGTTTCATGTCAGATTAGCTGAATGCATGGATGTTTAGTGGGCCGTGGAACATAACATTCAATCTCTCACTTAGCATCTATGGCTGGCATGGGGTGTTATTATTGGCTCCATAGGTCACTAGACAGCCATCACATTCAGCTAATCTGAATCACTTAGCATGCATAGGTCACTATGCATGATCACTTAGCATTTTGGCTTTGGCTTTTGCTTTGCTTGAGGTTTTATTTTATTCCATTTGCAATGCAACCGGGCAACAAAAGAAAGCAGAAACAAAAATAAATCAGATGTTGCACTCAAATTATTTGCATTCACATACTTTTGCACCAGTACAAATAAAATTACAGTGCAAAAAGAAAACAAAGAAAGATCCATTAGGGTGGAATACGGTACTGAAACTCCTAGATCAACCAATATGTTGCTTTGCATTCTCATTTCTTATGAGGGCCAATAGAAGTTGGCTTAAGTTGATCCTATTAAAGATGAACCTTTTGAATCTTCCAGTAGTTATTGGAAGAATGGGCCAGTCATAGAGCTCATGAGCCTAGACCCAAAGCCTTCCTTTTATCGCTTTAAGTTGTTATTAATACCAGACTTCCACTTTGCATTTACAGCTTGACAGACTCTTTTTGTTAAACTTGAGATGGCTGTCCAAACAATTGTCTATAACACATCCATGTTTAGAAGGTCCAAAGTATGGTACGATATGTATCAGTTTTTGAATCGAGTGATATAATAAATACTAGGAATTAGGGACATCTATCAAGCTTAAATAGTAGCAAGGTTCAAAGTATCAAAAAAAAATTGCATGTGTTTCAACTTGATGATACACAAGGCTCACTTGGGGAAGAGTATAAATACAAATATGTATACTTCAAAACCATGAATAAGGATATTAACCTTATTCATGCATCTAACGTTTCAGTGACCCAAGATAGATATAATACACCCAATATGGAGCATATTGGGTTGATACTTTAAACCTTGAATAACAGTTGTATGTGAGAAATAATGAGACAAATGGTTATAACTTTGGATTGTGAGTATCAATGCTTTGAGTCGCTCCATAATGATTTTTCGGCATTGAGCGTATCAATACTTTTAACTTGCATGTGTATATCTATGCTTCTTTGTGCATGGGCTATCTTGGTTGTGAGGCTTGGACTGGACCAAATGGTTGGACCATGTGATCTGGGAATCTGCAGCCAAAAACGGTTTTAGGCTGCTCAGTTATTAGAAATGTTGACTTGTTTAAACCTACTTCATACTAGCATTTGCAATCCACTGTTGACCTGGATGGTCAAACCATTGGAACCATTATTGGTCTGATTTTTCTAAAACCTGGGATTTGACAAAAAATCGTTGACTTAGTTTAAATCCAGTCAACACGAGCAATTGAATCATTGACCCTTCAATCGAGTCACTAAGTCATAAGTAACAAACTAAAATCTATTCAAATTTCTGGAGGCCATAATTTTGCATTCAGTTGTATGATTGGGGTGACTCAATTCTCGTGTAATTTTTTCAAAGACCATAACCTTGCCTGCTATTTTTGCCACAAACCTCTCATTTGGCCTCAAAGCTCAATTTTTAGCATTTGTTATAAAAATTAAAAATATAAATTAAATATAAAATAATATATATATATATATATATATATATACTTTTTTCTCAGGTTTTCTATTTGGTACTATAGCTATTGTTGTCACATAGGCATTTTGTTGATAGATCACCACATAGGCATTTTTCAATGCCATGTCAGCATACTATTTGCTAGCAACAGTAGAAAAAAACGGGAAAACACCAAAAAGAGCATATTCTCAGACCACATCTTTCCTGATTTCCAAGGTATGACTGATCTGAGAAACCATTTTTCAAAAAACGGCTAACCAAACAACAAAATTTTCCCCAAAAATAAAAATGGATTCCTGATGTGATGCTGATGTGGTTCCAATTTCTAAGGAAATGGCATTGATGCCAGACACCTACTAAGTGAGAAATCATATGCAGACTAAACATTCCATATTTATTGATGAATCATTCTAGAGGCAACCTAAGAAAATAAACTACATTGAGCTCAGGTTTGATTTTGGGCATGTTCAAAATTTAACAATTTCTCCATTCAATCCAACCCAACTCGAGTTACATCCTTAATAAATGGAGAAAAGTAACAAATTTTTTCCACAAGGCTGCATTTGTTTTAGGTGTAAATTCAGTTTTACACTAATGGGAAATATGAACCAGTTTAGTTGTCGATGGAAATTGGGACCAGTAGATTTTGAAAATTTACACCGACCATGTTTGATTGTCAAGGTGTAAATTATGTGAAAATTTACACAGATGAAGAGGGACGCAGAGGAAGAAGAAGAAGAAAGAAAAGTAGGAGGAGAAGAGAAAGAGAGAGAACGAAAAAGAGATAGATGGTGAGAGAAAGGTCGGAGGTGGGTTCAGATCTGCCACTACAACCAGTTGCAGCAGTGGTGACGGAACAGAGAAAGAAAAAAAGGGGGGAAGAAGAAGAAGAAGAAGAGAAGGAGAAGAGAGAGAGAGAAACCGCCAGTGTCATTGCCGCCCTGGGTTCAGATCTGCCGCTGCAACTGCAACTAGTTGCAGCGGCGGTGACGGAACAGAGAAAGAAAAAAAAATGGGAAGAAGAAGAAGAGAGAGAGAGAGAGAGAGAGAGAGAGAGATCACAGGCTGGTTTAGATCTGCGAAGAGAGAGAGAGAGAGGAAGAAAGAGACGTTAGTTTTACACCGATAATTTTGATGTATATTTTATATTGATTATTGGTGTAAAAAAATCAAAAATCAGTTTTACACCGATTTACGGTGTAAAATTACTCTTTCCAAACATGTGTAAAATCGAACCGGGGTGTAAAGTTTACCCAGGTTTGATTTTCCACCCCAAACAAACGTGACCATAAGGTTTAGTTTGTTTGCAACATAATTTTCATTTACACTGGTATAAATGTAAGGAAGTGCAAATGGGCTGACTGTAAATTCTACTTTTCTTGTTTTTCATATTTGATTGTCTTATTTATTTGTGAAAAGTAAAATGTAAGTCCCCAATTTATGAAAGAAAATTGAGGAAAGAGAAAGGTTTTTTTTTTGTTTGGGAGTGAGGTAGGAAGCAAGATGATACAGTCCCCACTTTATATGAGTATGGATTTACTGCCAACAAAATACGTTCCAACACCTACCAACATGATCTGACACCGCATTTCTTATACATGACGAATCTCACTTTTATAGTGGTCCCAATCTCATAATGAGATGTGCAGTGCCATAATGTTCGTAGGGTGTTGGAATATGTTTTATTGGAAAGTGAGAGTCGAGATAGGAAGAAAGTGGTGCAAAGATGTCAATTGACTTGTTGGTATGTCTCTTGGTTGTAGGCTTGCAGTGGAGATTTAGGATATCTATCAAAAAAAGGGAGACTTAGGATTGAATCCCCTCAATTGTTTAGCCCCATTGAAAGAGAGAGAAATGCAAATTGGACACAAAAATTGCATTGCTAATGAATGCAAATGAGGCAAAAAGTACAAGTTTTATATTAGATAGTACAAAGTAGGGGTGGATTTGAGCCGAGCCGAGCCGAATAGTGCCAGGCTTGAGCTCGAGCTCGAGCTCGACTTGAGTCAAAAGTTCATAAGCTCGAGCTCGGCTCGGCTCGACTCGTTTTATATTTAGAAAAAAATATTTTATAAAAATAAAAATTATATATATTTTTTATTTTATATTTAAAAATTAATAATTATAATGTTTTTATTATATATATATATATTATTTTCACGAGCTCGAGCAGTCGTGAAAAGCTCGACTTGTTGCCACCCCTTCATACTCACAAAATATACAAATACAAAACTAAATTATATATATATATATATATATAAAATAAAAATATGAATGAACTTGTGGGACTTCTTTTTACTAAAATTCTCCTATTTTTTAATTTAATTTTTCTCTAATTGTGAGGTAAAAAATGTAATTTGAACCAATGATTTAAATATTGATACGATATATCTGATACAGTGCGTATCGTATCGGTATCGACTATAGGGGATAGTCGAATGCTCTATGACTTGCAACTGGACTGATTCAAACCCAAATCACCCAGTGCTAAAACCTCATCCGCATTCTTAATCCACTAGACCGCATTTCAAGCTATGACAACAAGAGAAATAGAATATTATTTTATCAATTTTAGTGTTCACATGTAATGCAGACAAATAAAATACATTTGTGTCCAACTCAATAAAAAAATAATATTCAAAACTAATATTTTGTAAACTACTAGAATAAATAATTTCTTAAATCCACATTTATATCAAAAAGTGGTTTTTAATCTCAAGAAATTTATACAAATAAAGATATTAATAATAGAGTAAATTATTAATTACTATTTTAATTTGAATTAAATAAAAGTATATATATATTATTTACAAAAATAAAAAATTATTTATAAAATACTCAAGAATATAATATAAATTGAATTTTTCAAATCCATTATTCTGCATTTATATAAAAAATTGATATTTTATCTCAAAATTTATGAAAAAAATGTTAATAATGGAATAATTAATTTAGTAGTTAAAAATTATGAATTTGCATATGATGTGTATCTTAAAAAATTTAATATATTTGATATATTTTAAGTTAATATTATATATTTTTATAAAATTTTAAATGATATTTTCATTACATTTTATAATAAAAATATTGTTAACTAAACATTTGAGAATTAATTCTTAGTTGACTTTTGGTTAATATTAAAACTTAAAATTATAAAATAGAAAATAATCAATATAACAATTCATGTATAATAGTTGCATATGTTATTTGCCTTGAAATCCAGTAGAAAATAACATAATGATAGCTTTATTCATGTATTAATTTGTAAAACATATATATAATATGTTTTAGGATTCTTGATTGATACATTATCAAAAAAAATTTATGATTTCTATGCATCCCACTGTATTAACTGTAGTATATTTCTTCACGTATACCTTTAGAATGTATACTTTTATATATTTATACATTAATTATGGTTATTTTAATCTTAAATATAGTGTTATTAATATATTTATAAAATTTATATGCATTTTTTGGCGTATCCATATTTTTCGTCCGTATCCATGCATTTCCAAAGCGTGTCTGTATCCGTATCCATATCAGTATCCGTATATGAGCGGTTTGATATGATACTTGATACCAATATTTTAATCCTTGATTTGAACCACCACTTTTCACCTCATTCAATTCCCTCTCATTAAGTCTTTTATTTAAGGTATTTACTCAATTCTCTTTTATTAAGGTTTTTTTCTCAACAATAAATTTTATTAATTAGATTTACATTCAATATTTTTAACAATATAAAACCCATAATTTTTCGTTTTAGAACTGACGCAAAAATAAACTATTCTTTCATGTAGGTGGTAGTAAAGCAATTCAACCATTTGCTCAAATATAAGTCAATTCATGATATCATGATTAAATAAGAAAAATTAAAAGATAAAATCACAAAAAATTACAAAAACAAAAATCATTTTAGAAAAATATTTAAACACATCTCTATTAAAAATATTCATCATATTAAACAAAAATAAATGTAGTAAATAATAATTATTTTTATACACAAAAAATAAAAAATAGAAAAGAATTTACACATTATTACTAATAATGATGTAAAATTACCACATACAAAATATGTACATCCAATATCATCATTATCTAAATATGTACATCTAATAATTTTAGATAATGATGATATTAGATGTACATATTTTGTATGTGGTAATTAATTAAATGAAAGCTTTCAAGCTACAGCCCCCACCATTCAGACACATGGCTTTTTCAAATTTAGACACATGGCAATTTTCTGAGAAATTGCTATTAAAGTGAATAATCCACTACCACCATTCAGACAAGTGGCCTTTTCATTTTTTAGAAAGCTAGACACAAGGCAATTTTTGAGAAATTGTTGCTAAAATCCACAACCCACTACCACCATTTTCAATCCATTCCTAAAAAATGTAGAAAATACAAAAATGGTTATCCACAACCACTTATGCTTACATTCTATCAATTTCGATTAATCATTAACCTGTATGTATCTTGAAAAAAGAAAACTATCCATATTCTAATAAAAAGCTATTTTTTGAAATAAGTATTTTTTAAAATTTTAATAATTATTTAAAATATTAATAAATATAAATTTAACATTACTAATCATTCACTACTTTAATAAAAAGGAAATACCCATAAAACACGTAAAATAGGGTCCCAATTGATGAAAATGGTGCCCGAAAAAGTTTTACCCGTGGATTGGTGTCGGATAGAACATGTCATAAGGACAAGGTGGGGTATGGTGTGCAAGAGATTCCAATCTGGCGTTAGAGAATCTGCTGCCACAATTGTGGGGGCCACCTAATTGAATGGCCACCTCCTGTGGCGCTCCGTCGATACTCGATTCCAAACAACGTTACAGTTATTCTCAAAACCAGGCAACAGTGGCACCCCCTCTCTCTCTCTGTACGCCATTAAAGCACCTTTCTTTTCAGGCTTTATTGGCTGAGAATCAGATTCATCGGACTCTCGACTCAAGGTTTCCCATTATTGTTCTGCATTTGTCCATATACTCTCATTGAGAATCGAATCATACTGTCGTTTATCGAGTTATATCAAGGGTAATTGTCCGTCTTTTGTCTATTTATTCTATATTATATTTAGATTGAAGGGTCCGATCTCTCTTATTTGTTCTTCGTGTGGAGCCTCTTGGATCTGTTAAACACCGTGATCGTTCTGCGTCGTCTGCAACATTCGTATAACATTTTTTCCTTACAGGACAAACGAACGCAGAGTTGTAATTGTTAACTGGTTTGCATGCTTTGAGATAATAATATAGTTTTGCCCCTATTTTCCTTTAGTCTGTTATATGTTGTTGTTGTTTATATTTCCGAACTAGAGATCGTATGATGTACTCGTCTTTAAAATATTATATCTGAGGTGTTCTGGTGCTTACTTTTGTTTGACTGTAGGAATTGCATGAAGGGTCGTAATTATTTTTTGATATTTCTGTACTGAAACTGTTTGAATCATTAAAATGGCTAGATCCGGTCTAATTTTTGAAGATCTGTGTTCTTTTTCGCTTCTTTTGTCTAATTTTTATAAATCAATACTCTGCTTTGGCGGAAGCTTTGTTTTCATAGACACTTGGGTGATGATATCTAGATCTGATTGAACCAGTATAGGTTTATGATGCTTTTGATTGTTCATGTAGTTTTTTCTTGGTGATGTCTCTCCACCTCTGATTGCGTGTTTGTTTATTTAGGATTTCCTGTAAGAAAACCTTTTGAAGTTGAAGAATTGCCATCTTCCCCGTTTACTTGTATGAACCTGAACAGTTTGTCTACGTTGGCTTTCTTTGGTTAACTTAAACATTTGACTTGTTTCTCTCAACATATGTGTTACTTTAGTTTCACCCTGTTGCTTTGGCCTTCTACACATTTTCTGTTTTTAGACAGGGTGGTGCTTATATGTAACATGCTGTCATCCAAAAACGGAAATTAAGCAGTAGCATAAACATAATACATACCCAAGAATGTTTTTGAGGGGACATTACTGGTAAAATATCAATTTGATAAGCATGGCAATGCTGATTTGGGAGCGGCCACTTTGTGCCAAGAAAAAGGGGGAAAAATGAAAAAAAAAAAAAATCCAAAGATTGGGTCTATATCCAGTCTACTCCCCTTTCAAGAGTCAAGACCCCAGATGGCCAGGAACCAAAAGAATGAAAAAAAAAAGTTATGTGGGTTTGAAACACCCAATATGCATGTTTGTGCTTATTGGGCGTATTGATACTTTGAATCATGCCAAGTCCATAGCTGGGTAATGCCATAATGGCCCTAGCCTATATCAAAGAATCTTCTTGCTTTGTTTGCATATACGTCAGAACCTTTTGCTAGAATAATAAATTTGATTTTCAGTGTTCATTATTTATGCAGTAAATTGTAAGAATGGAAGGATCTGTGTTTACACCCTCCCTGGAAGGAATGAAGCATGTAAAGTCTGAAGAAGGGGAAATGCTGACCAAGCCTTTCTTGGATGTCTGCAAACTGATATTGCCTGTTATAGGTATAATTTTCTATTGTTTCCCTCTCAGAATTGCCTGAATCATACTTCTTCTCCTGGTTTAGAGAGCCAAATAACTATAATTGACTTGAGAACAATCTCAAATCCTCTAATGTACTATCTGTAGAGCTATATGATAGTGTGAATCTGTTTCAGTTCCTTTGTTTTGTAATGAATCTATTGTTGGTACTAGAATATTCCTTTCCATTTTAGATGTCGTGTACTTACTTTAGAGTAATTTTCTAAAGGCCATATTTTGGTATTTTTCTCCCTCAATGTCTATATTTAATTTTGAACACGAATCAATCTGTTTTCTTTAAAACATATATTAAATTGACAAATCTTCTGAGACTAATTGGTAAAAATATTGGAAATCCAAACATATTTTTCTTAATTTCCTTCAATGCTATTTTACATGTCTAATATGCTGTTACAGTGTGCATGAGAAGGTTGAGAGATCTTTCATTTGTCACCATGTTTGATAAGTATTTAGATAATCTTTTATCCATTAACAATTTGCAGAAAGACAAGGTTTTTCTTTTCCCTTTAATAAGAAAAAGTAGCAAGGGCTCATTACATATCATGGATCCACTGATTTAGTGGGTGTTTGGAACCGTGGGTGTTTATTAAATAAACACTGCCACATAGGCCGATAGGCGCCACTTCAGCATTCCCCCCACTATGTGAATCCATACGCATATGGACTTGCAAAAGTAGACTTTGGTTTACGTGCGCACCTACCATTGGGGAAGCTTCATTTTAGCACTTCCCCCAATGGGTAGGCGTTTATTCACAGTTTTGTTGATGTGGCACCTAATGGCGCCTAAGTGTCAATAAACGGGTTCATCATTGCTTTTCTTGGTTTTCCAAACAAATCAAGTACAAAACATTTAGTCAATAAACGTCCACGGTTCCAAACACATACTTACTGTTTCAGTATCAAAGCTTGTATTTGCATGGGAAATCTCATCATGTCCTTAGACAATTTTATCATTGAGTATCCTCTGGATCTAAAATATGAGCTTACTCTAATGAGTGATACCATGGCAAGGAGGCAAACAGATACCAAGAGATATGAAGATGGCATGGTATTGTGGCAGGATTTGATGATGGAAACAAAGAATGCAAACCTATAGCAATGTTAGTGCACTGGTGCCAAAAACACAACTAAGTGTTACTCTACCAGCATCAATTAATGCAAAATGACATGGAATTCAAACAAATCCTTGGATATTTTCAGAGCTGAAGACCAGGTGGTGTGAACAACATGCTGTCGTAAGCTTGTTCCTGCTATAAAGTAAAGCAGAAAAAACAATGTGGTTTTATTAAAAGAGTGGGAAGTTGGAACCCATCATTTCTTATTCTATATACAAGGATAACCAAGTTTTGTAACTTGAACACAATAATCAATAAATGTGCACTATTGAGATCCTAGTCAAGAGACCCTCCAAACAGTAAGTGCATGCCTCTTCTTGTATCTCTATTAGTTATAAAGCTTGTACTTCAAACATATAATGACATAGGCAACAGATAACTGAATAGGTTTCAGAATTAATGTCATTATGAAAGGTTGATTAGCTTAATATATTGGTCTGTCATAAAAACTGCACTTCACTCTGTTGAGTCTGTTCTCAAAAACAAGATATGAAAAGTTATTATATGAATCATGGTGATGAATTGACATCCTGAATTATTTATGATGCTAGATAAGTTTGGAGCTGCTATGACACTTGTAAAGACGGATATCAGCGGTAATATTTCGGTAAGATAATATTTTTTTCTCATGTATTTGCATGACTTATTTCTTCATTCACTTGAGGCTAGCATAGTCTCTTTTGACAGTTTGATATATTCATTTTATTTTTCTCCTTTCTCCAGTCACTTGTATTTTTTTTCTTTTAATAAAATTTTATTTTACCTTCAAAAAAAATTTCTTACGAGATTTTTTTTGCTTTATAATTCTTACCGGATGTTGTATTTTAGTGAAATTGCTGTTTGAGTTTGCACAGTAATGTGGTCTAAACAAATTTTCAGCTCATTTGGCTCATTTCCATGGAACCTTCTGTTTCAGTTTCTTTTAGCAGTACTTAACCTTTTGACTTAAAATGGCTTTCTGAACCTAAAACTTTCAGCATCCAATGTTCTCTTTCTTCTGTCATAGTGTTGCTGCCATTATTACCTTGGCATGTGGCATGCATGCCAATTACTAATAGCATCCACAAGTTGCTGGCATGTCCATGGTCCACCTTTAGAAACCTTGAAGAGATGGTACTATCAGTTGGGCTTTTAGTGGGCCGATTGGGATAGCTTCCTCAACAAAGGCTAAGTCATGGCAGCTTTAACCAGCATCAGGATTGCAAGAGACCTGGGTTTATTAAATCTTACCATTAAAGGAGATTCAGCCAATACCATTAATTGGCTCACTAAACCTGACAGTGGGCCTTGGGCCTTAGCTCACTACTTGGCTGAAGCAAGAGACATCCTCTCCTCCTTGAATGCTCATGTGGGTTGGGTTCCAAGGGAGCTAAACTCTGAAGCTAACAGTCTAGCTAAATCTGGCGCTTACAGGGATTACTTATTCAGTGATAGTTTTCTGCCTATGTAACTCTTTGAGTACATAGGGGGGATGTGCATGAGATGATGTACAAATAAAAAAGAAACGACAAAACCTGGAAGCTAGAGTTGACTTGGATCAATTTAGCAGCACACAAGCCCACAGGGAGAACTCTAATTTCAGCTTCAGAGGCATCAGCTCACCGATCAAAAGCCCAAATCACAATGTCCTTGGAATTGAGAATTAATCCCCCTATACACCAGCCCCCAAATGGCAATGGACACTTGTACTTCTGTAAAATGAGCGGCACTTAAGAGGGACTTCAGTGGATTTCCATTCCATCTGTTTTATTTGTAACCAGTGGAGCCAAATCATTGGCCTCCCTGATCCTGGTTGATTTTCTTTTGCTGGCTCTTTTTGTAAATTATGTGAACAGTGAACAGTTCACACGACCAGCTCTCTTTTCTTGATGGGGCTGCATTTTGGGGTTTCCCTGTCTTTGCAATTCAATACTTACCTTTCAAAAAGAAAAGAAAAAGAGAACATGTCAAACTTCAAGATGAAATCAGGAGGCCTAGACTCAGTGACAGGACTGAGATAGGGAGTAGAACCAGAGGTGCAGAACTTCTATTAGGTTTCTATCCAGGTCCCCATAGCTAATAGCTTTAAATTTCTTGCTAGTCAATAACCAGGCGTTGATCAGGGCCATAACTCTTCCCCTAAGACCCTCAAAGGAAGTGACCTTGGTTCTCAAAAATTTTTCTGTTTTATTCCTTCCATGGCTAATACCTTTACTACTGTTAATTCCCCAAATCCTTTTGTCTTAAGTTTCATCAATGAGAGTCTACTAGTGTTGTGCCAATTGCCAAGAGTTGGTATACTAGACCCTTTGTCAATGCGTCCTGTTCAAGACTGCTGACATAAACAAATGTTGTGAATTTGGAGGCAGTTAGGAAATATCTGGTTCACATTCGTAATTAACTGATTATGGGAGTTTTCTCTACTTCTAGGTACTACTCCAACCCCCCACTGTAAGCATAGAGTTTGGTGCCTTGATGACAACATATAAGGGTTGAGAGAAGCTGGGTAAGGAAATTACTCCAAAGATGACAAAGTTGTGCCAAGCTAGAATGAAGTAGCCAATCAGGATCCATGTGGATTTAGATGATGTTGACAACAACAGTAACAATGATATTGATTATGAAGGTGTTGCAAAACATTAAAACAAAAAAAAAAGGTAGAAAGATGGGGATAAAAGGCTAAATCTTTGTTCTTTCAGCCATAATTATAGTTTAAGAAACAAAAAAAGCATGCTTTATGTTTATATATACCTTTGCAGAATGTAACAGTGAAGCTTTTCACAGATAAGTTGAAAACTGCTGTCCAATTTTTAGCAAGTTTAATGCTCTGCTTAGGTGCTCAAATAGGTTGAAACCATTTGTCAAGAACGTTTTTAACTCAGTACAACAAGGCCAGATTTTTCATTGAGTGGCATTATGGCATTACTAAATTGGATTTCTGAGAGTGATCTGCAGTTATTAATCTATCTAGAGTAAACTTCTAACATGACACTTGAATGTGAATGTATCTCTTGTTTTTTCTTTTTTTTTTTTCTTGCAGAGGTTGGAATCCAAATATTCTTCGAACCCTTCAGAATTCAACCTGTTGTACAGTATGGTTCGAGTAGAGATCGAAGCTAAGACAGCAAAAGCTTCATCCAGTTGCACCAATGGTCTTCTCTGGTTAACAAGGTTGGAGATAGTGTCTGTATTTGCTTGTTTCTGCATATAGATGTCATTATTTATTTTGCTCCCCCTCCCCGGAAAAAGAAATCTTACAGGTGAAGTCACTATGTATGTCCATTACGCATTCATGAATGCAAGTGCAAGAGGACATATGTTTAGCTGTCATATATTAATTAAAGAATGATTGGAATATTTCTTCAGGGCAATGGATTTCTTGGTGGAACTGTTTCGCAACTTACTGGAGCATGCAGATTGGACCATGCCTCAAGCTTGTACAGATTCCTATAACAAAACCTTGAAAAAATGGCATGGATGGCTTGCCAGTTCCAGTTTCACTGTAATATTTCTTATGCCTGAAAATAAGATATGAAAATATTCTAAATACTTAACTGCTATAGATATATTTTTTTCCATTTATTCATGCATTCTAACCTTTATGTACTACTATGCTTCTTTTATCTTGGAATTGATCTTTCTTTATTTTTCCCTCTTTCCACCAGTGTCAAGATTTTGGCTTGCACTGTTGGTCCAAAGCCTTGATAAAGGATGTGACTTGATCAGGCTGCCATCTGTCCAGAACCTCTTTGTCAAAAACATTTGAATGTGAATCCTGACTAATTGCAAAAAATTGGCATGAGATGTAATTAGGATTTGGAACATACTGTAGAAGCCACAATTGTTCCAAGTAAAGTTTCAATTACTTGATATTTTTGCTGTACTTATTATGTACTGAAATTGCAGGTTGCCATGAAACTTGCTCCAGATAGGAAGAAGTTCATGGAGGTAATAGGGGGAAAAGGTGATCTCAACGCAGACATTGAGAAATTTTGTTCTAACTTTGCTCCGCTTCTTGAAGAGAATCACAAGTTCTTGGTAAGATATAAATCACAAAGGAGTCAACTTATTCTTTTTAAGTACATTGTTGGTTATTTTAGTTCCGTCAGAGGGGGGGGAGGGGGGAGATAGGGTTGCTCCGCTTCTTGAATAACATGCATATTTTGCACATTGATATTGATTTTTGAAAAGTAAGAGGGGTGTTCGAAATCATGGTTGATTTTGTTTTTGAAAACAAAAAATTACTCCCACATCAGAAAAAACAATATAATTTTGCTGATGTGGCAGTTTCGAACATTCAAACACCCCCTAAGTGTTGAGGACAGATGGCACAAAACTATGATGTGCCTAGCATTGTTTGTTAGTATCAGATCCGAACCCCAAATGGATGAATGGAGGGGAAAAGTACTGCCCCACAAGGAGTGATATTGATTAGCTGCTATCATCATTTCATCATCTAAGGGGGTGTTTGAAAACATGGTCGATTTTATTTTTGAAAACAAAAGCAACTGCCACATCAGAAAATACAATATAATTTTTCTGATGTGGCAATTGTTTTTGTTTTCAAAAATAAAATCAGCTATGTTGTTGAACACCCCCTAAGCCTTATCCCAACTAAATGGGGTTGGCTGGAAGGAAAAGAAAAAATAGAGAAAAAACAAATTTATCTGAAAACGAATTTTGTAATCACGGTATGATACAATCACATTGATAATTATTTTAACCTATCTACAGGCTAGTGTTGGCTTGGACGACCTGAAAGCTTCCTGATGAGAGAGGTCTTTCTGCTCCTGAACAACGAAGGTCTTACTATTGACAATCCTGTATTTCTTGCAATCTCAAGCATAAAAGAGGTCTCCTTTTGGTCCAGATAAACAGAGACCTTAGTTTTAAAAATCCTGTATTTCGCAACCATAAGCATAACTCTCTCTTCCTGGTTCCCTTTAACGAGTTGGTTGTGCTTGGAAAGAGCACTGATATGGTAAGCACACTCTATGCGCACGTTGAATAGAGGCGGGATATGGAAAACTGGTGTGTTCACTTGTGATTGGTTATATGAGCTCAAATCTCCTGCAAGCAAAAACTCAGCACACATGGCATCTAACAACATTTAGGAATATCTCCTGTACATATATATATCTGACATTCATGGGAGATGTTCCCAATGTGCAATTGGATGCCCCTGCTTTCAGAGTGTATGCAGAGATTTTGCTTGCAATCAATCCCATTGCTGGTTACATTGCCTGTAAACCGTAATACACAGCTGTACGCAAGGTTCAAAGTATCGATACTGTCGGCCAGTATCAATCCTTTTTTATGCCATCTGAACCAGGCCCTGACCTGATACAACCCCTGTAGGGGTGTATCGGGAAGGGCCCGATACAATATATATTGGCCGATATGTAACGATTTTTTGAACCTTGGCTCATTGGCTATATGCGTAGCACATTGACTGCCAGTAAACAAGCACATAAAATGTGGCCAGCAATGTGTTTTGTGGTCAGCTGATCTGGGCTCTTGTAAGACAGGTGTAAAGAGAAAAGTAATGGGTTTTATGTCGTATTCTGGTCACTTCTTAAGTACTAATCTATAACATGAATGCTTTTGTTTTCATTTGTTTTCATTTGTTTTTATAATTGGCTGTATAGGCAAATTTCTTAAATTAACCTTATGGATTAATCAATAAAAAGTGTTAATGGAAAAAAATGAAATATCGATAATTTTCTTTATTATTCTTCAAAATTTTAAAATAAAATTCGAACTTATGAAAATCTTGAAGAAAGGAGATCTCAGATTGTTCAGCTCTACACCCTTGAAAAAAGGAGCTTGTTTTTTCATATTCACTGAGCAAATGAGGACCTGAGTATATTTCCTCGAATATTCTCCTCTATTTTCTCTGATATCACCGACAATTCTCTGAAGTTTGATCCAAATATGGAATACCAGACCCTGGATATTATTGTCATCTCAAGGACGTCATTCTTTTCTCCAAAATGGATGTTTATGCCGTCATTTCCCTCTCCGGTGACTCACAGTCAAAGCAGAAAATCCCCGTCCATAAAGACAGTGGCACGAGCCCCTCTTGGAATTCCCTAATGAAATTCACTATCGATGAAGTGGCAGCAAAGCAGAACTGTCTGATGCTCGTCTTTGAACTCCGATGTGATCGAAGCCTTGGCGATAAAGATATCGGACAAGTCCATGTACCCGTCAAGGAGCTCCTCGATAACACTGGAGATGAGAAGTCCGTCCAATACGTTAGCTCTCAGGTCAGGAAACCGTCGGGAAAACCCTAAGGCACGTTGAATTTCATTTGAAGAAGCACAGCGTCTAAAGAGATGAGCTAGTGCAAGGGAGTAAAGTCTGAATCTCTGCCACCTCTAAAATCGGCCATCAATGGCGTCGCATAATTCAAAACCTCCAACAAGGATTAAGAATCAATGGTAAAGAGTTTTATGGCGGGTTCCCCTTTCTCAACTAGAGTACTAATTGCAAATTGTCCATCTGGTCGAGGCTCCCTCCATGCACAAACAGAACCTTGTTTGTGCTAGAGGTCTTTCCACCCTTCTACACCAATGCAATGGGCGCCCAATTAATGCTGCAATAACTCAACATATATAAGTGTACTCCCATTTCTTTTTAAGGTCCAAAATGTCTAAACCTTTTGAAGACACTAAGGGGGTGTTCTGTAGTGTGGATGAGAAATTGGTGGATGTGTACCGGTTCATACCACACCCTGTGACAAGAACCAATCTACACTACACCACAATCCATATCTATTTTGAACTTTGGACAAATTATGTGCACAGTGGCGTTCTATAGGCGTGGTATGAACCAGTTCACACCACACTTTTTTATTCAATATATCTCATATGCATTTATGAATGATCTACAACATTTTAAAAAATGACCTAGAAATGAAACCGTTCTGACCACCAATTTTTAGGTCGATGGTCCGACCGTTCGGTTCGAATGGATGGCCCATTCTGACAAACAAATTAAAAAAATAAAAATAAATTAAAAATAAAAAACCGGTAAAAAACCATTGAACGGGTCGACGGTTCGACCGCTCGGGTCAACAGGTTGTTGACTTTTTCAACGATTTTTGGCCAAAAACTGGGTTTGGGGTAAAACGGAACCGCTTGGCGACCTACCTCCACCGACTTGGCCTAATGAAGACCCAACTGGTGACCTACCTCCGCCGACCTGACAACCTACCTCCACCGACTTGGCGACCTACCTCCGCCAACCTGGCAACCTACCTCTGGAGACCTACTAGAGACCCAGCTAGCGACCTACCTCCACTGACCTGATGGAGACTCGACCGGCGACCTCATACACAACTCGGGCAACTCGACAAAGCGGCTAGTAGCACATCATCCAAGGATGTGGCCTGTAATACCTTGTGTTATCAGTCCAAGGGACCTTGGCATGAGGAACGACCTCCTAAAGGACTTTCCAACCAGACTAAGGTCCAGGTGGTGACCTACGAGACATGCTCGCCAACCCCTTCCCTAAGCAAGTTACTATTTCCAACTTCTTCGAGACCACAATGCTCATCCGTTACACCCGTTTTTCCATATTGTTCACATCGGAGTTGATTGAACAGACTCTATCCCTCTCCTCCGAACATGGTGGACACGGTTTACCAAGAATCTCAAATGCATTACAAGAAGCTCCTGGTTTCCTACGCCTATATAAATGCCTCATTTCCAACCTTGGAATGTATGCACAATTTAGCTCTCACATCTTTCTAGCTCTCTCAAAAATTTCCAGTTTATTGACTTAAGCATCAGAGTGCCCACCTCGAGTAAAGCAACCCAGGCACTCTAATAGTCTCCCTGCAGGTTGCCCTAGTAAACTACACAGCTCGACATCAGAGTCACCTTCCAGCAAGGAATTGTTCAACTCGGCATCCAAGTCACCTGCTAGTAGGGAGCTATCAGATTGTGGATCATCAATTGGCGCCATTTGTGGGAATCGCTACTTAAAAGCCAAGTTCTCAACTCATTTTAAATTCTCACTCAATGGTAATCAGCCCGAACGAGCCTCGTCAGCTCTGTTCACGAGGTCACCTCTACAAGTCGAGTCCTTCACAGCTCCCATGGGAGTCAGCGACCAATAGACTATGCAGTTGCCCTTGTGGGTTGAGCCTTCCAAGGATCCTGTGCGAGTTGGCGACCTACAATTAGTAGAGCCACCGCCACAAGTTGAGCTTCCTATGGCTTATGGTAGGAGTAGACGACCAGTGTCTCCGAGGACTAACACAGTGTAGCCGTGGCACCGACCCACTGTTTAACGCCAATAGAATTAGAATGATTAGCCCATACAAGTTCCAACATTCTTACATGGACAGAATCTCCCGTCCTTGACTATGAGGCCACCCTACAGGTCGATCCCTCCACGGTTCCCATGGGAGTTGATGGCCAGTAGACTATGGAGCCACCCTCATACGTCAACCCTGTCGAGGTGACGAGGTGTCTATAGGCCAAGGTGCTAAGAGCAAATTGGCCTATTAAAATTTCGACAACCTGATTGAGACCCGCTTTGGCGACTTGGACAAGCTAACTCACAATACACGCACGTTAGTGAAAATCTACTAAGGGGAAGTCAAACTGCCTTTAGCTAAGGCCCCCTATTGCAACCTTGGGATACATCGGTAGTTCGACAGCTCGACATTGTTTTGACGGCCGAAATTATGAGTAATTGCTTTGGCAACTTAGTCAAACCAAACTCTAAGGGGAAAATAAACCACTTTCAGCATCAAGGCCCCCTAAGCCGACCTTGGCAGACATGTAAACTTGGTCGACTTCTTTACAGTTGTCCTCCACCTCGGTTTTAGGCTCCGCATCGACCTTGTTGACTACTCTTTCGAGGATCGACTTGAAGGACATTACATTGAAGTCTACGTAAGTGGAGTGACTTGAGGAGGCAGCCACGCAGTTTAAATCTCCTCTTGAGAATGACATGACAAACTTCACTCCTGAGGTGTTCGGCCGAATTGCAAAACTCCTTGAGCAGATGAGTTCGCTCTTGTGCCCCGATAGTCAAGATGGAAAATTCCTGCGTAATATTGCATTCAACCCCTAGATTCCTTTGACTTGGAGAGCAAACTGGATTGACACTTATGAGCTTATCAAACTAGTCATTCTGGGCCAAAGGACATGTAGTAAGCTACTCCCTTCGCCGAGTTAACCTCAACATGGGAGTGGGGGGCAATTTATGAGGGAAAATTTGTCCCTCCATTGACATCATGACATGTGGCATCTCAAAACAGCTGGCAACCTACCTCTACCAACCTGGCGACCTACCTCCGTTGACCTACTCCATCGACCTAGCGACCTACCTCCAGCAACCTAATAGAGACCCAAGTAGTGACCTACCTCCGCCAACCTGGCAACCTACCTCTGCCAACATGGCAACCTACCTCCACCAACTTGGCAACCTACCTCCGACGACCTAATGGAGACCCAGCTAGTGACCTACCTCCACCAACCTGGCAACCTACCTCCAGTGACCTACTGGAGACCTAGCTGTCGACCTGATCGAGACCCATCTAGCGACCTCATACGCAACTCAAGCAACTCGATAGAGCGGTTAGTAGCACCTCCTCCAGGGACGGCCTGTAGTACCTCATCGTTACCAGTCCAAGGGACCTTGGTGTGAGGAGCAACCTCCTCGAGGACTTGCTGACCTGACTGAGGTTCACGTGGCGACTTGCGAAACATGCTCGCCAACCTCTTCCTTAAGCAAGTTACTATTTTCCGACTTCTCTGGGACCATGACACTCGTCCGTTACACCCGTTTTTCCATATTGTCCGCATCGGAGTTGATTGAACAGACTCTATCCCTCTCCTCCGAACATGGTGGATGCGGTTTCCCAGGAATTTCGGATACGTTATAGGAAGCTCCTGGTTTTCTACGCCTATATAAAGGCCTCATTTCCAACCTCAAAAGGTATGCACAATTTAGCTCTCCTAGCTCTCTAGCTCTCTCAAAAATCTCCAATTCACTGACTTAGGCATCGGAGTGCCCATCCCGAGTATAGCAACCCGGACACTCTAATACTGTCTCCCTACAGGTCGCCCCAGTAAACTATCCAGGTCATCATTATTCAGCTCGACATCTGAGTCACCTTCCAACAAGGAATTGTCTAGCTCAACATCCAAATCACCTACCAGCAAGGAGATGCCAAATCGCACATTATCAATACTCTCAAAAGTAAGAGTGGGTTCCAATACTATTGTTATAAAGCCGATATTTTCCTTTTGGTGCATCGTTCACGTCATAAAAATTAAACTTGATTCTATAACTATAACCTAAACTTTTTTTTTATAAAATCAGAAATAAAGCAAACAAACACCAACTAGAAGGTATCATGATGCCTGGAGAGGTGGCCCCATGCGTCAAAGACAATCTGCAATGAATATGTGTATTTACAAGACGATTTGCAGCGAATATGTGAATATTTGCACACTTGCATAGCACCTGCCCTCACACTAGTGAAAGTGAAAGATTTAACTTTTAAAAGTCCACTCGCTCAATTGTGATAGTGAAAGATAACTTTTAGGCTTCGTTTGGTTCCGGTGTAAAACATCATTAGTGTGAAAACACATTGATGACATTTTACACTAAATCATATAATAAGTAACCGTTACATTATGAAAACTCTGATAAAAAATATAAAGTTTTATATCGATGAAATCAATATAGTATTTACATCGATAAAATCGATGTAGTTTTTACATCAATTATCGATGTAAAACTTTATGCTTGATGAGGTTTTACATTGGCTCACAATGTAAAACTCCACTCCATCCAAACACATGCAAAACTGAACCAGAGTGGAGTTTTACGTTGATCATAATTACATGCTCCTTTCAAAGGCCTACAAAGTCGAACCAATGTAAATTTTACATTGATTCTTGATTTACATCACTTCCAAATACAGCCTTAAAATCCACTCAAAATATGTGAATTATATTCAATTGAATCTGATCATATATGGAGTGGATTATTGGAGACTTCGAGGAAGAATATGATGTGATGGGTTAGTGCAAGAAGTGATGCAAGATTATCTAAGTCTAACCATGGCGGCATAACACCATTATTCAGAGAGAGAGAGAGAGAAGAATTACGTGGTTTTGTTAAAAGACGACTATCAATACAACACTAAGCCGAATCTGGATCTCCTGCCCACACCTATCCACGCCTCACTACGTATATTGAGAACATCTTTCCTATTTATATGTTATCATTCATAGAAAATGTTACCAATGTACAACTATAATGTCATGTGAGTGTGACGGGATCTGCTCCTTACAAATGGGCGCCTCACAGGTACATCCACCGTGCATTGGAAACATCTCCCGTGAATAATAATTAATAAATACGGGAGATGTTCCCTTTGCATGATCGGATGTGCGTGTGAGGCATGAGATGTGAGGAGCAGATCCGGTCTCCATGTGAGTAGGATTCTTGTGGGTAAGAAATCTGAATTCACCTAAACGAGACATCTACCCATCATAATCCAACAACAAATATTCTCGCTGGTGTCACATGGAGCCAAGATCTCCTCCTCACAAATGGGCGCCTCACAGGCACATTCACCGTGCATTAGGAACATCTCCCATGAATATTCACTAATAAGTATGGGAGATGTTCCCAATGCATGGTAGGATGTGCCTGTGAGGAGCCAGTGAGGCGTAAGGTGTGAGGAGCAGATCTGGTCTCGTCGCTATGTATTCCTCACATCGGCTGACACGGAGTGCATGCCACATTAAGGACTAGTACCACGTAGCCAGGTGTTATGGGTGCATTAAATGAGGTACAACGCCCGTCGAGGCCTATGAAATGATAATGTTACCCTCCGAGGTTACCACATGTCAAACTCTGATTGGGTATGAATATTTGGCCATATTAACATATACGCATATATGCATGAAATTATAACTCCTTAGGCTGGGTTCATTCGGGCTTGGATTAGGTCCACCCAAGTCGCACCCTATGCACATCAGTAAATCTCCCCCCATAAATGATAGCATATAAGAGATATTCCCAATGTGTGGTTGTAATGTCTTGTAGGTGAGGTGTGGGTAACATTTTGACTTTTGTGAGTAGCATATCCAAGCTCTGCTATTGGTGGACACAGGAGCTGGGACATGTGATTCCTGATTTTCTGGCGAGTCTAAATATGCTACCAACAAGTCCTACCAAATACCAAAACAACTTCCAACATGATTCAAACATGTTTCGTACTCATTGATTGGATCATATTTTTAAGTAGGGCTGTCAATGGACCAGATATTAGCCCAACCCAATTCAGTCCAATATGAGTCCATTACAAATGGATCTGATCCAATCCAATCCTATGAATACTTTGGACTATTCTAGACTGGTCCAATTCATTATTTGGACCATCCAATCTGTTCACATTGATTCCCAAACTTGGTCTATTGACACCCATACTCTTTTGTGGTCCAATCTATGAACCAGGACCAATCCAATCTAATAAATATATTGGACCATTAAGTGGACGGGGAATTCAATATGTCTTATTGGTCGTCCAAACCATTCAAATTGATTTTGATTCGATGGGGTCCGACCCAAACCCGGCCCATTGACACCCCACTTTTGAGATGGCAATCAACTACTAATCAATCATGGGAGGGATATGCGGTTATAGAGCTTGTAGGAGGCTAAGTTGGTAGCAGATCTAGACTCCTCTCCTAGGAAAAACTTTAGCCGTTGGGGGCGTGAATAGGTGAACTGCGCAGAACGTGCGCAGCCAGAAACTGTCTCTACAGCCTATGCTGTTCGACCCCAACAGCCAAAGTTAACCCCACTTCCTGCGCCCCGAGCCCGAGATAACAGGGTGATAACTGACCATCCACCTATGAATTCCCCAACCGCTTACCTTCCCGCGTCTTCCCGAAACCCGTTAGAAATTGGAACTTCCTAAAATAGTCATTGGCTGGAAAACTCCGAACTACGACCGGTTTATTCGGTCCACCCCATTTGGGTCCTCACCTGAGAATTCGGCCAGGTACTGGTTTTCAAACACAGGCGATTCTAACAAACAATGCGTTGCCATCGGAGCATCCCTCCAAAGCTTTCTGCTTTAAACTTCACCTATGAATTTCCTTCATCCTCTTTCTCTTCATCTTCTCTTTGATAGAATACATGAAATAATTAGGTTTTCTTTGGGTCTTTTCTTTCCAAAACTTCTCCATTCTTGATGCTTCCTTCACTCCTTTCTCTGTAAGAGATGAAACTATGTTTGTTGAATCGAACCATGTGTGGACGCTCAGAACATATAGCGTAGATCCGGCGTTGCTCCATTCGAGAATTTGGTGGCGTTGTAGGTGCAGCAATTATACTTCAGAAGGTGTGATTTTAGAGTTTAGACTAAGGATTTTGATATGGAATGCAGTTTTCTATCTAATTCCCTATTGTCTGCTCTGTTTTGTGAATATGAAGTTGAGAATCTCCGTCCAGACAACAAGGCTACTCCGTTGGATGCTTTCCGGTTCACAGAGTCATCTTCTCCGGCGTGCATTACAGCAAAGATGAAGGGCCTTATGAAAGGGTTGAGATACTTCTCACAAATTTTTGGTATTAAAGCTGTTCTGGTTAAGAGTTTTTCAGTTTCAGAATTGCTGATTTCCCATTATGGGGTCAAACTAGAACAAAACTAATGTTTCAGGCATTCATTAATGCAGAAAATAATAAGGAGCCAGAAATGCAGATTGGCTATCCGACGGACGTAAAGCATGTCGCCCACATAGGATGGGATGGTCCATCCGTAGCTTCTCCGAGCTGGGTAAGCTGATCTCCATTGATAATTGAAGATTCAATGGGACTCTACTCTTGGCTTGAATTTAAACAGTTGGGTGACGTTGGGTTTCATACTAGTGCCTGAGTGTGAAAATTTGTGATGCCAAATTCTACAGATGAACGAGTTTAAGCAATCGCCGGAGTCTTCGGCACCTGCAAGTATTGCCGGAGAAGACAGGGAGACCAATGCGGCAAAATTAACTCCTCAAGGTTTGCATTAACTCCCATTCCCTTTCTGTATTATTTCTCAAGCCTGTGATGATCAGCTCATACTGTAATTCTGCATATGGTGTTTTATTTTGTTTGACAGAATCAAAGGCCAATGCACCGAAATTAACTTCTCAAGGTTTTGTATTCAGTCCTTTGCACTCCCATTCCCTTTCTGAATTATTTCTCAAGCCTGTGATGATCGGCTCATACTGTAATTATGCATACGGTGTTTGGGCTTCTTGACAGATTCAAAGGTCAAAGACGTGCCGCTGGAATTGCCAAAGCCATCGAGGCGCCACAACTCAACCGGAATATCCTCATTCAATTCCTCCAGCCAGGAGCAGGGTGGCGAGGGATCACGGCGTTCAAGGCGTCGTCCGTCCATGGGTGGCTCGATGGACTCCGCCCCGGATTTAACCGATGGGACCAAACAATCAAGGAGGCACCAAAGGACAGGCTCTATTGGGGATCCATCAGCGTCGGACCCGCCTGGTCTCCCAAAGAAGGCTCATCGTAAGAAGTCCAAGGGTGGTGGCGGAGGCGCATCTATAAAACCATCTAGATCAAAAGCTCCAGCAAATGGCGATGGGATTGGGTCTGAATTGCAGAGCACTGACCCATATCCAACCTCAGCTTCAAATCCACATGGAGAAGATGAAGAAGATGAAGACGAAAGGACGTGACGTGATGGGGTTTCTTCAAAATTTGTAAAGAAAGAAAGAAAGAAAGACTCATTCAGATTTTTCCATCTGCAAATTCCTGTTTTTTTCACCCGTGTTTTCTTGAATCTTTTTGTTCTAACAATTTTAACTGTTAGCCTTGCTTAGTTGAAACCTGAAATCAAGACATTCGTTCTCTTATATGCACTATATATACTTGGCTCCAAAAAAGAAAGTTTGGTTTTGAAATTTCTTCGATGTATGAAATTCAAGCTCTGAAATTTTTTCCTTTTCTTCTTTTTCTGTTTCTCTCTTTCTTTGTTTCCATGTATTCTGTAATCTGTATCACACCTTCAAAACACAAAAACAAAACAGTACCCTAGGAAGCTAAGAAGATAAGATGACCGAAGTGAAGAGCACCCTGAGAAGAGAACATGATGGGAAATGGCGGTTTTGCTGCATAACTTCAAATGCTCCAAACCACTGTTACTCGTAGCAGAACTGAAGCTCGCATCAACACAGAAATTAGGGTTCCCACCCAATTTGAGTTTTCCTTCAAGTTGAGCGGAAAACTTGGCAGAAATTGGAAGTCTACCACTCAACCGATTGTTCTCCAAATTAATCTCGTTCACAGACTCCAACAATCCAAACTCCATAGGCACCGTACCTTCAAGCTTGTTATTATCAAGCCCTAGGTAAGAAATGTTTGTCAAGAACACCCCCATTGACGCAGGAATTTTACCGACCAGTCCCAGACCAGAGAATCCTAGTCGCAAAATGCCCCCGAGCTTCTCCCAGATTTCCGGAATTTGTCCTCCCAGGGAGTTACCGCTCAAGTACAACTCTCTCAAGCTGGGCATCTCCGCTAAAGATAGCGGAATCCCGAAGTTACCGAAAAGGTTATAGCTCAAGTCCAGAAACTCCAGTTTCTGCAACCCAAGAAGAGTTTCAGGGATTCGCCCGTCGATGTAATTAGAACCCAAATCGAGCTTCAAAAGCTCTGTCAAGTTCCCGATTGAGTCCGGGAGTTGTCCTTGAAACCTATTGTAGCTGAGGTCGAGAATTTTCAGTTTCTTCAGCTTCCCTATGTCGAGCGGAACTCCTCCACTTAAATTGCTTCTCGTGATCGTAATCTGTTCGAGCTCGAGCATATCACCAATACTATCTGGGATTTCCCCAGAAACGTTGCTTCCAGTGAGAACTAACTTCTTTAGACGGGTGAAGTTGCCGAGTTTGCCGTTGAGAGTCCCGGCCAGAGATGGGTTTTCAATGAACACGAGTTCTTCCAAGCTAGAACTCAAGTTCGCGAGAAACCCAGGAAGCAAAACCTCTGTTTCATTAAAGCATTTATAGAAGAACATCTTACGAAGGTGAGCGAAGGAGGTGAGGCGGGGGCTAAAGGTGGAATTAGAATCACAGGGAGGGTTAGGAGAGTAGTCCGAGATGTAGCCGAAGCTTAGCTCTGTAATGTGGACAGTTCCATTACCGCTTTCATCCGTGAAATAATCGCAGACAACGCCGTGCGGAGCCGAGCTGCAGAGGTCATCAGGGAAGAGATAGCGCCACTGAATATCCGAGTTAATCGCCTCGAGCACCTGGTAAACCGATTCCTGTTCGTCGGAGCTTAGAGTCAAAATTTGCTGAGATACAACAGCGTGAGAGAAGACGACGAGAAAGACGACCGGAAAACGAAAAAACAACGAAGAAGAAATAGCCATGGGAGACACAGACGCAGTAAGGAGCTTTTTCGTAAATGGAAAAAATGACCCTACGAAGGTTTCGAACCAGAGAAAGAAATGAAACAACTATCAAGACATGAATGGAAGGAGACGAGGAGACGACGAATTATTGTAAGGCTTTTTGAAAATTGCAATCCTTCTCGAGTTATTTACATGGTTGCCACTGTCGTTGTTAAATGACGAAAAACGCCTTCTCGCTTCATTGTCGGGTCAACTCAGATAGAGGGTAATAGTGTCATTTGGTGACCAAGAACTGGACGCTGTCAAAATTTTAATGAGTGTACATTCCCCGTCAGATTGTTCTTTTATTAATCGTCTACCGAACAGAAATTCTCTTTGTCTGAAATACCGAAAATGGTCTCCATCAAAGTCCTTTACCATCTCAGCCGTTGATTTAGCCTTCCCAAATAGTGGGACCCACCTCTTGGACAAGCTGATCTCCTCGAAATGGGGGTTAGACAGCTGGATTTCCTAAATTGGAAGGTACACTCGTCATTCACTCGCTCGCCAATTAGCGCTCAGCCAGAAAATTCTTCTCTCTAGTACTATGTAATGACCAATTTAACCTCGCACAAATTGGAATTTACCCTTGTAAACAGGGGTACATCCGTCAATATAAGCGTAATTCCCTTATCTAACAAGCATCCTTTTGTCTCTGAAGGGAAAAGGGCGTTTTGGTCTTTTGGGAGTAGTTAGTTTTCTCGCACTTCGCATGAAGCGACAGTGGAGTTGGGTTGTTGTTGGAACCTGGGCTAATGATTCAGTTCAGAAGAGAACAGGATTACAGGAGAAACAGGTTGGCTTAAACATCGAGCATGTTTCAATGAAATGAACGACTACGATCGAGGGATGCATTGATAAGGTTGGGGGTCGTTAAGGGAGATGCCGAGATGGGAGAACTGGTGTCGGAAAACGTGATGCTGCGGCGGCAGTGTGGCAGAGGGAGAAGGGAGAAGGCGTAGCCGACCACGTCCTGCATGCAGCCCGCCACCAGGGCGGTACAAATGCATTGGGCCTACGTGGCAGCAGACCACGTCTCCGTTGTAAGCCACTGCCGTTCTGATTCAAATATCAGCCTTTAGTGGGGCCCATTTCATGGTGCTTAAGACCGCTTCCAATAATATTTCGAGAATCACTGTCGTGAGAAATTGGCTAAGCTGTTGATAATTGTACAGAAGTGATGATGAACATAGTCCCACATAGCCCTTGGATTTTGAAATGGAGTGGGGATTGGTGAGGGGTATATAACTATAATATAATAGTGGTAAAATCAAATCCAGCTTTATAACCGTTAGGGCTGCTGTGATTAGATGGTTGACGACGATCACTTTTGCTTGATACGACTGAAAAGTTAAAACACCATAATTATCCCTGCAGGCTTCCCATTAGAAATGCATTGTCGTGTGATGCTGATCTAATGGTTAGATTGGATGCATAGTGCGAGTACGCAGGTGGCGGGGTCACCCCCACCCGCAATGGAAATGAGAGGGTAATCATTTCATCCCATCATACGACATTTGATGCCAGCCCAGCTGCCCGGCCCACGAAAAGGAGGACAAGCCCACCTGAGCAGCCGGCGTAGTTTAGCTTCAGGGTCAGTCTGGTCTGGTCTGGTGGAGGACGAAAAGGAGTAATGGAGATTCAGACAGTAGGTTGGGTTATCGAAATGGACGTGTAAGTGGGCCAGGGATATCGCAGCATACATCTGGGGGCGTTTTTTTGGGGGATTTTAACTGTTCAGTCCAGCTCTAAAAATCTTAGGGTTTAAATCTTAGGGTTTTTGGTTCTCGGTCAAAATCCTGAGAAATCTTTTTTTAGATTTTGAAAAAGGAAAAATTAGTTAATAGAAGTTTGATTTTTAATAAAAAATCTCATTTATTTTTAAATTTATATGAAGAATAGGAAAAATTTATTTTATTAGGTATTATTTATTCGGATAAAAATATCAATCGAGAGCAAATCAGTCTCCCATTACAACGTCTCACAACACATTTCGGGTGTATTCAAAATATCTCCCGATAATAATATCAGATATGATGATATCATTAGAGATGTTCACAATACAGGACAAAGATGTGTTGTGGTTTGTTGTGGGGGGCAATCTGGTGGGGCTGATTTGAACTCGAATCAATCGGTGGGCATGTGAACAAATGTCAACCGAGTTGTCATATTTTTATTTGGACAGTTCATGGCATGTCAGTATGCGTTCATTGTCACTTTGTCACTGCGCCGGTACGCCCACATTAAAACCAGCCAATTACCAAAATACCAATAGCAATGGTGGTAGCCTGGTAGGGATTGCAATTGCCTAGCCCTTAGCGTAAGGGTGATCATTATTCTTTACCCGGCCCGGCCCAGCCCACTAGAAGGTAGGGATGGGAATTGTCTTAGTGTATAGGTGATTATTTTGGCCCACGGTACAAGAAAGATTTTAACCAACCACAACCCTTCGTAAATTTTGATGAAAACTAGTTTGATTGGTTAGTCTTATGATGTTGGTTGATCGGTTGTATGTTTTTTCAGTATCATATATTTCTACCATTATAGTCAAGTCCGTTATATAATATAAAATATAAAAGTTTTAAGTTTTAATATATAAATAAATATTAACATATATTAATACTTAAGCCAAGTCAAGTATGAAAATTGTCTTGAAAAAAAAATACTCAATGATAGCATTTATATAAGGCTATGGAGATAATGGTTTATGCCCCTAAGATTTGAGGAATTAGCAAGGTTCAAAATATCGATATACCCGATATATCAGTAGGGGTGTATCAAGTGAATTGATACTTGTTTTTATTTTTTATTTTTTATTTTTTTTGTAATCAATTTAGAAAACTGGTTTAGGGCTCCTCCACCCCTTAAACCGGTCAGACCCCCGATACACCCATTATAGGGGCGTATCAGATGGGTCCTAGTGTTAATACTTTGAACCTTGGGAGTTATTCAATTGAACTAGCACAAAAAATAAGGAGAGAGAAAAATGGAGGATGGAAGAAAGGAAAGTGGGTCTCAATGTGAGTAATAGGTGAAAGTTCTTGAAATGGGTATGAAATCCCTACTTATAGGGTTTGGGTGAATTGCATTCCAGAAATTTATTGGACTATAATTCACTTTTCCTGTTCAGTCTTACCCATATTCACTGCACATGTTTAATCAACAAACATTCTAGAATACTCAAATTCTACAATATTTTGGCATTTAATTAAAATATGTTTATTAATTAATATTCTAGAACATATAACACTTTAATTGGTCTAAAAAGTAGCCTGATTTGACTTGAGTTCAACCCATGTCAGTCGGGTATACGTATTTATGCAATGTCATCCTCTTACATTAGTCTCCCGCTTAACTTTAGTTGCTTGTAAGCGAAGTTGAGCATAACTTTGCTATCCACAGTTTACATTTTTTATATGAGAATGCCACGAGTTTGTTTTTTATGGGCTTATGAATTGCGTGCAATAAAACGAATTTGTGAATTATGGATAGGGTTATAATGGATCGGATTCAGATCGGATATAGCAAAATCCTCATTCGATCCGATTACTAAGAACTTACATCCGAATTCAATCTGAAATTTGATCGGATTTCAAGATTCAGATTTGAATTTGAATCTTAACAGACTCGGATTAGATTTAGATTTAGATTTAATTTAATTCTATTTTAAATTTTCTGAAATATTAGAAAAATTAAAAACTTACTTATTTTTTAACTTTTATATATAATAAATTAATATAAATATAACATATTAAATTTATTATATATATTTATATATAATATAATATATAAATATATTTTTATAATTTTAAATATAATTATATTAAAATTAATAAATATTATAATATAATCGGATTCAGATTTTAATCAAATCGGATGAGAACAAATCTAAATCCGATCCAATTATTAATCGAACATAGATTGTAACATCTAAATCCAATCCAATTACGTAAATATATCATGTGAATCCGAGATAATCAGATCGGATATCAGATATAGTCTCGCATTTTCAGGCCTAATACGGATTCATATTACCCTTGTAACGGTATTTACAGATTGCATGTTGTTTACTTTGGGTCTGACATTTTTACTACTTTGGTAGAACGATGTTCACAGATTACTTGTTTACTTTGCGCCTGACATTTTCACTACTTTGGTAATTATTAAACCCCAAAAATATAAGGAATCTTACAAGTGATTAGTGTCTGAATTTAAGGGAAATTGAAATCAGCCTTTTCTGAAAATTTGAGCAAATCGGTCATCAAATTTTTTGAAAATTTTAAGTAAATCCACTCCCAATTTTTTTTTGAATATTTTAAGCAAATCAACCCCAATGCTAACTGAGTGATAGGATTGAGTGATTCGATTTGGATATTGGATTTTCTAATCGGATTCAAATCTGAATCGTCAAGGCCCTACGATATGAGTGCTTAAGGGATTACCGTTGAGCTGAAACCCCTAGAGTTACTAAGATTTAGGTCGTAAGAGGCCGGAACCATTGAGGCCTTACGAATGAATGCCGCTGAGGGGTGATGCCCTCATACAGGATGTTGAAAAGCCTAACATGATAAGTTGCAATATTAGTAGCACGTGTATGTAAAATTTCAGAAATGATGGGGCTGTTTGGCACTATTGCCGTTTCCGGGAGCAACGGCACCACAGCAGAAAAACGGTGCTCCAGGAAACGGATATTTGTTTGAAATCATTTTTCTATAAAAAACGGTGCTCCAGGCCATGCCTCAGAAATCAGGAAATCATGGCTTGGAGCAACACTAAATTTGGCCTAGAACTGCAGCTCGTTGCTGTCAACAGAGCAGTGATGTGGCACTGATGTGGCACCAGATAATGGGTACCAGTGTTGAAAATGTTTCCTAGAGCAATGGTACCAAACAGAAAAATTTGCTCCAAGAAACGTCCTATTTGGCAGCAATAATTCCAAACAAAAATAAAGGCACCGTTCTGCAACTGCAGCATCAATACCAAACATATACAATATTTTTGCAAATGAAGTTGTGCAAGAGAGTCATTTAGTTGTTGGAAATCTCTAAAAATTGTAGTGATGTTTAG